GACTAAAATGCAATAAGAAAAATAGAAAAGAAAAGTCTACCCACTATCTTTCCATACTTGAGATGCTTTTCTTAAGCTCATTTTATTATGAAATAAAGAATATTTTGACTCCAAGTTGATTGTTTGAATCACTTAGAATGCTCCAAAGAGGGATATTCTGAACTTTCTATTCTCTGAATATAGCTTTCTAGGAAGGCCACAGTGGAAAAAAAATCCCCATTTCAATTGGCAAGATGAGAAAACAGATATTTCAAACAAATGAGCTCTCTTGTCGCATCACGAGGCTCTGATTATTAAAGTTTAAGACTCTTTTCTTTCAGCAGGGGTGGAGAGCAATAACCATTTCATCTAAAACCAGGATGATGAAGGCAATATAAATCAAACCCATTCCAGCAGATTTCATTTGGTCTAATTTTTTCTGCAGATATTAATCATAGTATAGTCCTGTGCAAATGACATCTAACTCCATTCCAACTAGGTTGAAAGAACACTCCATCTGATTCTCTTTCTCAACTGTGTCATGCTGATAATATAAAAGAAAATAAATAAATTGGAACTCTGGTTTAGCAAGATTTCAAGATGCTAAGAATACTGAGATATTAAAAGAGAGAAATGGTCCCTGTTAAACCTATAATCCAACATGCAAATTGGCAAAAACATATACCTGCCATAGAGTCACCAGGAGGGAGAAAAAAAACAACTCTTCCTTCATTTTTCCTCTATGATTTGCTGTTTCAATTTGAAGTGCCCAAGGATTCTTTCTCACATTTCACAGGCAATGGAAAGAACCTTTGACTTCCTAGCAATGACAGACCATGGAAATTTATTTTAGCCAGATCTGTGGAACCCAGTGACAAAGAATGACAGTGTTCTAGATTTTCTCATGTTCTACAGCTATGCTAAATACTGGCTGGACTGGGAGGCTGGAATCATTTCAATGAATCTCACATTCTGAGTTCCAAATATAAAAATGAGGTTTTACTACTATGATAGGGAGATAGTAAATGGCGATTTGACAAATCATCCTGTATACCTATCTATAATCTCACAGAGCCAGATGTTTTGACACAGATGGATGAAACTCAGACATAAACTCTAAATTCAGGAAAGCAAAACTGATTCTGAAAGAACAGCAATATATAAGAATGATCAGCATGGGGAACCCTCAACTAACATCCATCTTAAACAAACATAATCAATTGAAAAGTGAAAGTTAATAAATCAGCTGTTGATCATTTTGTTGACAAATGTTAAAATGCTTTTATTTTTTTTGTTTGTATTTTCTACCACTGAATTGGAAGGTTGGATTAATGTTGTGCAAACATGACTTAGAAGATAATATGTTTCAAAAGGGATAAGCAGTATATGAAGGTTTTCAATTAATTCACTCTTACTGCAGTTTAGATAAGACAAGCTGGGCCTACATTTAGCTTTTAAAAAAAAATAAAATGGTCTTGTGTTTTTGGAAGATTCTTCCTGCTATTTGCATGAAGGCTGCCCAAAGAAACACAATAATGGGACTGACAGATATGATAATGCAAACACCCCAGGGGTCCACTACAGACTTTTTTCAATCTTCCATTTTGCTGGTAAAAGGAGACAGACATTAGTAATAGATTAGGAGATATGCAAACTATTTTTCTCATTTGTCTTTGGGAACAAATACCTTGTTTAGATTCAGGGTCCTCTGGGAAATAGTCCTTCCCCCATCCCTGAAACTCCAGTATACTGGGATATGATGAAAGGGTTGATGTTATATTACAAAGGGCATTGGGTTTGAATTCAGAAGACTGGGTTTCAATGTTCAATACTATTAGTCATTACTTTTGTGACTTTGGATAAGTCACTTGGCCAGTCTGGTCTCAGTTTAATTATCTGTAAAATGGTATGATTGGAATACTTGATTTCTGAGGTTCCTTCCACCTCTAAATCCTTTGATTCCATGACTGACTTAATACGTTGGCCAAATTTTCACTCCTTTCATCATAATCAGTTTACCCAGAATGACACCAGTAGAGTTATCTCATTGACTCAGTGTATAGTCTTTGTCAGAACTTTAGGTATCAAGAAATGAAAAGGATCAGAATGACTATATTGATATACAACTCTCTCCATAAAAGACTTAAAGTTCTTTTTAAAAAAAATCAAAACTAGATAAGGGGTTGTACGTAATACAATGAGCATAGATAGAGCCTTGCAAACTTATACTTCATATAAACATTTCCCTAATTTGACTTTCTCCATATGAAGCTAACCGTATGGCCCTCCTCTAGGTTGCTTAGTTGCTCATTGTTTGTTTAGCATACCAAAAGAACAATCCTACCCAGAGGTATGATCAACTATAAACCAGTACTTATACAACTGAAAAGCAAACACAATTTTGCTTGCTTGGACAATTCACATTGGAGTATGGGCACTGTGTAGAGGTGGGGGAAAACAAAACAAAACATCACCTTACACAAGTACCTTGCACATAGTAGGGCCTTAATAAGTGTTTTTGAATTGAAGGCTAGTGTGTGTGTGTGTGTGTGTGTGTGTGTGTGTGAGTGTGTGTGTGTGTCACTAACCGGTAGTTTCCTTCCTATCACTGGAGCTAAAAGGAAAATGTGAGCAAACAGATATTATTGCCAACTGATTAGGTAAATAGGATAAAAAGAAACTCTGATATTATATGAAGTTACATTGCAACATTTAATTTCCTGTTTAAAAGTATGCAGCAGAAGTTAAGGGTTGCCTGCCCTTCCAACTCTCCACCTCATGCCAGTTGTTTGAGGCTTCAAAGTGCACTTTGTTGACAGTTTAATTGGATATGAATGGAAAAGGAGCTGGAATCAATGCACAGTTTTGGCCCAGAAGTATTCGACAGCATTGTTGGAGAGGCCTTGAGAATTATTTGATCACAGTGGGCCTTAGGACAGTCTTTCCCATTTGAATTCTTTCTTGATTCATTAAAATCTGATTCTTCCCTGAATTCTCTGTTGTTTAGATGATTATATCTTAATCTGATGTTCATTGATATTGAAAAAAGAAGTCATTCTGAATAGAATGAAGGAAAAGACTGAATAAAAATAGGTTATACCTATAACTGACCCACTGGTACATAGTAGAGAAGAACACAAAGCAAATCTATGAACAGTTCTGCTGACAACTCAGTTCTCAAGGCTTTTAAATAAAACCTTTAACCCTTAATTAGAGAGGCCAGAACATAAAAATTTTGACAGGTTATGACTGTTGTGAAATGCAAGTCTTGTAGGACTTCAGACATTCATTTACTAGTGACTAAAATTGAAACAGAACCTCTTAAACAATTAGCTTTGGGGATGGATGTGTAAACAGAAACAGTTAATACATTATTCATTGTGTTTTGGTCCTGCTAACTACCAAATTCTTTCCTTGACACACACGTGCATTTTTTTCCCATTTTTTTTAAGTTCTCCACTTGGTCCAAGTATGAAATATCCTTTCCCATTCCCACTGAAATCTATGTATTGTGCATAAGAGAAAGAGCAAAAAGTCCTCAACACCACAATCCCAAACTTGTCAGAGGTAATATAGCATCCACAACAAATAAGATTACAGGGATAGCTACCAATAGTTACTTTTCGACTGTGCCTAGACAGAACACAGTGATCTTGATCTCTGACAGCAATCCAGTTAATGGAACACAGATAGGTAGCACAGTGAACCAAAATCCATTCAGGGATCTCAGTTGCCTAGTTTAGCTCTCTACATAGGTAACATCAACAGGGCCCTTGCTAAGGCTCTCCTTTGTGCAGTACAGGCATAGCCAAAGCATCACATTTCAAGGTTAACAAAAGACACCAAAGTGAAGTTAATTGTCAGCAATGTAGTAAAAAAAAAAAAAAAAACATAAAACATGTAATTGTGTTACTAGGAGTCAGGAAAAATAAAGCATATAGGAATGCTTAGCTTCAATTCCTCTATTATAATCAGCAGTGGTGAACACCTTCTGAGGGTAGTACCATACTCAGGTCTTGGTCCTACCGCTAAAGAGAGATTTGGAGAGCTGGAAGTAAGTTTAGTATGAAGGCCATAAATATGTCTGAAGGTTGGGAAAATTAGGTCTATATTCTCCTATCAAAGAGGTTAAGGGGTATTTAATAATAGTCTTCAAGTGTATGAAAGGCTCTTACACAAATAATGGTCACCAGCTCTCCTCCCTCCATCCCCCAACAAAGAAAATAGTTTCAGCCCAGGGTTAGGGTGGGAATTAGTTGGTAAATAAAGAAGGATTAATTGTTGATCAGGTTCATTCACCATTGAAATGGTATCCCAAGAAAGAATATGAAATATCCTTCTTTGAAAAGTATTTTTAAAAAAGTATTTAAAAATTGGATAGAGTTTCACTGCTATAGAGTGAAAGGTCCTGTCAGGAGTAGGGGATTATATTAAGTGACCTCACAGACATTCCCTGACCTTGAATTCTATGAATCATGTATATATGTGTGTATACCTATGCACACACATACAAATAAACATGTACAAACAACATAGCCAATATAAACTGGGTAGCATAGGTTTAAGTAAAAAGTTCAAAAAGCCCCTTCCTTTTCCCCATAAACAAAGTTAAAAGCAAAACTAAAACTTTCAAATATATCATCAGGCAAACCCCTTGTCCTTCATCTTCCCATTCAGTGGCCCTATTCACTGGGGGAAAAAAACAAGGAACCCTTGGCTTGGAATAGATGAACTCCAGGTTATCTTAGTTGCTGCTGTAATCATGTCTCATGTGTAACATTTTCAGTGTGTGTTCCAAAGCTCACAAACAAATAGCATTTTCATTGTGCTTCCACATCTGGAAAAAAATCAATTACACTGTGACTTTACATGAGAAGGTGAACTAGGCAAAGTACAAGATCAATGAACTGTTGTGGCCTAACACATTCTTATTTTTTCCTTTTAGAATATGAATATTCTTGTGTATGATGTTTATTTGGAAATGATAAAGTGTGTGTTTTTCCCCACCCCCCAGCCTTTTCCTATAGATGGTACTTTCTTAATAGTTCAGATTGCCAAGGGTGTTTCCTTTCTGGGAACCTATCTGGAATTTTGATCTTGAGAAAATCCTGTATGCATTTTTCTAGCTCTTCCTCAATGGAGAGCTTTTCCTTCACAGCTTTTTTTTTGCCCGAGTTAGACTCCCTGGAGCCAGTAGTCAGAGTCCGAAGCAAGTCGCTTTTCCGACGCATCTCCGACTGCTGGATCAGCTGCACGGGGCCCTTCTTGATAGGCCTGTCCAGAGTCTGGATGTTGGGCTGGCGGGTCACCGGCCCGCAGATGACAGTCTCCTGTGGGGAGCTGGCTTCTGACTGGCTGTCACAACTAGAGGTAGAGAGTTCATTGCACGAGGTGCCACTCTCTCCTTCCTTATCACCCTTGCCATTTTTGCAACAGCAGTCACAGTGTGAGGAAGACCACCTGGAAGGTTCACCTGCAAGAAAGCACACGGGACCCAGTGGATTAACGGCAGCTCAGATGGTGTAAAGTTCAGTCACGTACACATACAAACATGGGGTAGGGGTAGAGGGAATAACATCTTTGCATGGTACCCAATTCAATGATCAATAAGAATCTTTCTTCTTTTGGGGGGGGGGGGCGAGGCAATTGGAATTAAGTGACTTGCCCAGGGTCATATAGCTAGTAAATGTCAAGTATGTGAGGCTGGATTTGAACTCAGGTCCTCTTGTCTCCAGGGCCTGTGCTCTGTCCACTGGGCCACCTAGCTGCCCCATCAATAAGAATCTAATAAATATTTATTGAATTGGATTTAATTGAAACCAAATACTTTCCCTACTAACTGGGAAGTGAAGTGCTCCTGGAATATAGCTGAGAGCTAAAGCTTTTGCATTGTTTTCCAAATTCTCTTCATTGCATTATAGTAAACCAGTTTAAATCATGCTCCTCTAAGTAGTAAAAGTATAAAATATCATGCTAAACTTATTAAAGAAGAGTTAGTCTTGTTCCTAAAGCAACAAAGGTTTTCTCCAGCATTAACGATGTATTGATCCTGAGCCCTGATGGAGAGAGAAACAAAGTTCCTTCCCTTCCTTTAAAGGGCTCGTCTTCTAAACCATAACGGAAACTTGCAGGGAAATATTCATTTGTTCATACAGACATCTGCTATCTGGGGCTTGTTTTCCCAACTTCAGTGTGAGGAAAGGAAAAAATAAATAAAACAATTAAAAGCTCTCCCCTAAGGTAGCTGATGATTTGATTAAAGGAATCATATGTTGAATTTGACTTGTGCTAGACCAGGTTCATTCTCTAGCTAGCAATGGCATCTTAGGTGGATAGAACACTGGTCCTGGAGTCAGGAAAATTACTGAGTTAAATCCATTCTTAACATTTCCTAGTTGTTTCTCCCTGAAAAAATCATTTAATCTCTATATGCCTCAGTTTCCTTAACTACAAAATGAGGATAATAATAGCACCTTCCTCCCAGGGTTGTTGTAAGGATCAAATGAGATTATAATTGTAAAGTACCTCACACATAGCAGGCACTTAATTAATGCTTACTCCATCCCTCTCCTCCACCTCTGAGAGAAAAAAAAAATCTGCTAAATTAATAAGGAAGCCAATCCTGACTCATCCCACAGTAAGAAACTAGAGTTATCTAGGAAATGGTTTATGGCATGTGTATGATGAACAATGTTTTTTCTACCATTTTGTTGCTGTTGTTCAGTTGTGTCCAACTCTATATGACCCTACTTTTTTGGCAAAGAGACTGGAGTGGTTTTCCTTCTCCAGCTCATTATACAGATGAAGAAACTGAGGCAAACAGGGTTAATTGACTTGCCCATGGTCACATAGCTAGTTAGTGTCTAAGACAGAATTTGAACTCAGGTCATCTTGATTTCAGGCCCAGCACTCTATCCACTGTGCCACCTAGCTGCCATAATATTCACACACAAAAACATGCACGTTGTCCTCTTCCTCCTCCTCCTCCTCCTCCTCCTCCTCTTCATCATCATCATTGCTTACACTCAGGGAACCCTTTATACTTTTCAAAGTGATTCCACAGCACAGCTCTGCCACTTACTATCTAGGCTTTGCTTTCCTCTAGGGCAAAGAGAAGGAATAGAATTAGATCAGGGGTAGGGAACCTGCAGCCTTGAGGCCACATGTGGTCTTCTAGATCCTTAAATGCAGCCTTTTGACTGAATCCAAATTTCACAGAACAAAATTTGGATTCAGTCAAAAGGCTGGACTTAACGATCTGGAAGGCCACATGTGGCCTCAAATCTGTAGGTTCTCCACCCGTAGACTAGATGATCTCTAATGTCCCTTGCAGCTTCCTATGATACTATCACCCTATGGTTCTATATTTGCATGATGCACTTCAGCACATACATCACACAAAGGGAGTAGGATTGGTTGGCTCCTCTTTTCCCTTAGGAATATGTAGAGTGTTTGCATGAGAAGACTAGGATCATAAGACCATCCCAAAGGTCACTCTTAACTGCTTCTCATTCTTCTCCTGGATGAGAAGCAGGGGAGGAAAGTTTTAGAGGAAGTGTAGGAATAGTGAAGGTCCTTTTTTTAGTTCTACTGAATGTAAAACTGAAAAAAAAATCCTTTTCTTTTGAAATCTTTAAGCTCTCTTACTTTTTAAATAAAAATTGATTATTGAATTTGAATCACTGGAATAAACTTCGTATAACTTCTATCAGTCCTATTGACTCGGCTTTCAGGAAAGGAATCTGTTTTTGAGATTCTTTTGTTGTTGTCATATGCACTTGTTATGAGGATGACCAATTGCCAGGAGTTTTTCCTTTGGACCTAGCAGGGCAACATGATGGTTCTGTGTTATCGCATGCATCACTAGCAATCTGTGGCTCAGAGATTCAACATGGCCTTAATTCTGCCTAGGAAGAGACACAGTAGAACTTTCTTACAGCTACATTATTTGGAAACTCCATTGAATGGAGTACCTATATTCATGTCATGGATTAAACATAGAGATTACAACCTCTTCTGTCCTATTCTCCATCCAAACATCCCTAATTCTACACAGAGAAGAAGTGTTCACATTATCAAAATGCAAAATCCTGCCACAGCCTTGCTGGTTAGGGAATGGAGAGTGAGAAAGAGAAACAGAAGCTATACCATATCATAACTTTACTGTGAATAGTTTTTATATATTTGGAATTTGACTTGTCAAACTAATTCTGTACAATAACCCAGGTTAGAACAGGATGCTATGATATGGCTCAGAGGGGTAAGTGTGGAGTGGCAGCCATCAAAGAAGTTACCTGGCACCTGTATTTGTAATATTGTAATATTGCTCATTCAGTTTGGTGCATCTCCTACAGACTGAAATTCTCTCTTCATCTCTACTTCTTGGTTTCATTTAGCTTAAGTTTCACTTTCTGCAAAAGGTCCTTCCTGCCCCTCTCACTGACTAGTGCCTTCCCTCTGGGATTAGCTTCCATTTACTCTGTAAATATTCCATATATATATAGTTGTTTACATGTTGCCTCTCCCATTAGAATGTGAACTCTTAGAGGGCAGGGACCAAGTGTTAAATATTTCCTGTAAAACTTATGTTATCTCAGTTATGTGATGTACTAGATAAAGGGTTGAAGTAATAGTCAGGACAGGTATAAAGTAAAATCTTAAATCATATATTTACTCACTGTGGGACCTCCATGAGTTCAGTTTTTGAATTTACAAAATGGCAGGAAAATCATATCGGTACTATCTCAAATGAGATCTTATATTTAAAGTATTTTGTAAATCTTCGAGGCTATATAAATGTCAGCTATCATTAGCAATCCTTGTTTGTTTGTTTGTTTGTTTAAATCCTAGGAGAAATCCCAAGATCTTTGTTGATTGACCCATAAGCCTAGTGAAATAAACTCCCAATATTAGAAGTATCTCCAACTGAGACCCATTCACTGAAACAACTTGTCGTAATTAAACTATGCAGCCATCATATTTACAGATCTATTAAATTAAATGCAGTAATCCAATTAATCAAAAGGGAAGCCAACAGTGGTAGCATCCTGGTTATCACAGGCTATTGTAAATAAGCATCTCCCATGCCACTGAGAAATCTGCTCAACATGCACCAGCTGGTTCCTGCAAAGAATGAGTGGAAAAGGCTTCCTTGCTTTGCCAGCATGGTCTCTGAGGGAGCCCTTTTCCTTAGGAAGGTGAAATTTGTCATTCTTGCTAAGTACCCACCGGCCTTTTGCTAATAGACTCCAACTCTTCTACTCTGATGAGAAAAGAAGTGAAACTTTTCCAATATTTATTTCCTACAGGACATTTCACTCTAACACAAAAGTGAAGCAGCCTTATTCTTCTGGGAAAGGTTTGGAAATTCAGCTTTCAATTAAACACATAGAAAGATAGTTTCTACTTACTTGAACCCTTTCTGGGTTTGACTAAGGGCAGTAAGAATTTGATGACTGCAAGCAGCAGAAATAAAAGTTGCATGAACTTCTAAATTGTGTGAACCTCCCAAATATGGTGAGGTCTCTTCCCCATTCCTTCCCTCCCAGGGGGAATCTTTATTTGCCCACAGGAGACATTTTAAAGAAATCAACAGCAGTATGTTTGAAGGATGCAAGAGTGACCATCTGGAAAACCACACAGACGTCCAACATTTGTGCAAGCTAGGAAACTGGCACAGGAATAGACCATTTCCCGATGGAATACTGAGACAATCATGAATTGAATTCAACCAAAAGAATTACTTTTAATATATTTCAAGTGATATTACTACCTGAAATTGGAATGTCAGGTTTTTTCCTCTGAAGCATGCTCTGTTACTCCAAATTTTAATATTTTATATCATTGCTACTCTGATGCTTTTTGGGGGGAATGGAGAAGGGTAGGATAGTGGAAGAATAGGAGCTATGATTTCATTAAATTAGAGAATTACAGTTGAGAAAACTCTTCCTGCCACCTTAGCCTTTAGTCTTAAAGAGTTGTCTTGGCTACTAAGAGGTTAAGTGACTTGCCCAGTGTTACACAGCTAGTTTGTATCACAGGCAAAACATAAATGTAAGTCTTGGTGACTCCAAAGGCCACTCTTTATCTATATTTAAATGTAGAACACAGTAAAGAATTAGTACATTTTGTCTGGAGGTAAGGTCTGATAGAAAGCTGTGAGAGTAGATGCTGAAAAATGATCCGAAATGATATTAAATCCTCCTTATCCTGCTTGGAAACATTATAAGCTATATCTCCCCATACCTAAGCACTTATCATCTTTTGAGAGTTCAAGAATTCAGGAAAAGAAGAGGCTGTAAGTATGCAAGTTGAGGTGATTTATGTCTGATTGAAATTCATATGCCCTGTGCAGTCACACCAGACCCACGCTTGTCTATTCTCAAGTGTGGGAAGACTCTTTCTCAGAATACTTCTTCCAAACATCCAGAATATTTGCCTGTCCCACAATTCCCAAATTCTAGCACCTAAAGG